AATGTGCTAAGCAATTTGCCAGATATGGTGTAGGGTCTCCTGCTTGAGTGGGGGGTTGGACTAGATGACCTATAAGGTCCCTTCCAACTCTGTTAATCTGTCTGACTAAACAATCTGTTTCTCTGTCTGTCATCCAATCCCATCCCATCCCATCCCCCGACCCTATCCCATCCCTTTGATTTTTGTTCTCTTGGTAAAACAAACCTTGGCATTTGTCTCTGTCATATTCTATTCTCTTATTTTTACTTCCTTTTTCTAACCTTCAGGATAATTTTGAATCTTATTTCTTTCTTCTTGAGTCGCATCCCATGTTGTGCCATCTGCAAATTGGATAAGCATTCTCTTCCTTTTTGCTCCTAAGAAAGCTTACTTAAGAATGAAGGAAGACTGGTTCAAACATCTGTCTCAGATTCATTCCCTTGGAAGTCAGTCTCTGACAAGCTGACAAGCAAAATTTGAAGGTAGCAAGGTTTCCACATGCTGGACTTCCTATATGTTCCTGTAGGAAGACATTGTAGGAAGGCAACCATGTCTGTCTATGGTGGCCGAAAATAAGAAGCCACTTCCCAACGACTAATTTTTAAAAGCTTTCATGAGCTGGAGGTCACATCATCATATGCATAAAGTGACTAGACTGGTGTAGGATTTCCAACTAATCTATGCAACTAATGATGAGAGCTGCAGTTTTCAAAAAAGCTAATGCTTTTTAATGAAATCTGTTAGTTGGAGAACGGGTTCCAATCATACTATCTTAGCTGCAGCTAAGAACAAAGGAAAAACCCTATTGGCTAAGAGGGAGTACATTTAGTGAAGCCTCTTGTTTTCTACAATGACCATTTCTCTTCCCCTTTTGCACCTGGGATTGACTTCTCGAAGATGCAAATAGTTGTGTTGTGGAACCAGACCTGCAGGGTGAAATCTTTGTAAGAGGCCAGCCAGTGTACAGACTCTGACTCAGTAGCTGACAGTTTCATTACCAAATCAAACCAGAAATTTACCATCAAACAAAAGGTTATCAGCAGAGCCATAAAGAATTTTCCCCAGAGCAGAAATTCTTCACTTGGGGCTTTGTTCTCCCTTTTGATGGGAAAGCACCGCAGTTCACTGAGAGGAGATGGAGACCAAGGTTAGCAGACCTCCTGGATAAGGTTTTTTTTTTTTTGGCAAGCAAATATTTGCTACACAGATGGCAAAGAGAGTGGGGAGGAGGACAGGAGGAAGAATACAGACAGATAAAAATAGTGGCAGGGCAGATTGATCAGCAACAGAGAGGCTAAATTGTGATAAAACTTTTATCGTTATTCTTTTTCAATACTTGCTATATCAGGATTTTGTCTGGGTTGCTTATGAAATACAGCAGTATTTCTTATTTCCTTGACCCATAGCCAAGTACTGTTGTATAGTCTGCACAGAACACCGTAGTATTAACTCTTACCCTGTAAGATATTTTAGAATAACTATATTTTTCCCTTTATCTTAATGAATTGTGACTCCTGGTGTTTTATTTGCTGGTCTAAGACCAAATAAGGATTGGTTTGATTTGATATAGGAGATATGCATGTTCCGGTTAAAGGGTCTTGCTATGTTTAGTTTAGTGAAAGGTAGACTAATGAGATATTAATAGGAGTCTTCCAAAATCTGAAAGGTTGTAACGCAGAAATATGATGGACTTATTCTCTTTCATCTAGAGGTCAGGATTATAATTAATGGGTTGAACCAGCAAGAATCCTGGTTTAGGTGAACACCAAGAGGGACCTCTTGTCTGTTCAAGGTCCAGTAAATGGAACATTCAGCCACAGGAATTTATGAGTTCTGCTTTGCTAGAGATCTTCAAACAGGATATGGATGGGCATTTCTCAGAGATCATCTACTGGACACCGTATTGGAGCAGGGAATTGAACTAGATGACATCAAAGATCAAACCCTATGATACTATGGACAAAGTGGTACAATCATATTACATGTTTCACAATCTGCTTTGCAGTCCATAAGGCCAATGAAAACTTAGCTTTAAGCTTAGGTTTTAGCTTAAAGCCAAAACAATGACTAGATAGTCTGAAAGAGTACTGTATCTTCTCCTAGATTTACCTTCCCAGACTCTACAAGCATCACCTGAGCCCAGTGGTGGGTTTCAAAATTTTTTACTACCGGTTCTGTGGATGTGGCTTGGTGGGCGTGGCATTTCTTGGTGGGCGTGGCTTGGTGGGTGTGGCAGGGGAAGGATACTGTAAAATCTCCATTCCCTCCTGATCAGCTGTGATTCGAGAGGCAGAGAATAGATGGGGGAGGGGCCAGTCAGAGGTGGTATTTACCGGTTCTCCGACCTACTCAAAATTTCCACTACCGGTTCTCCAGAACTGGTCAGAACCTGCTGAAACCAACCTGTGACTCCTAATCTGGGAGAGTGGCTCCAACAGTTCCCAGGAACAATGTCAGCTTTCTGTCTAGGAAGAGATAAGATCCTGCACAGAATCTCCAAACTCCCAGACCTCTGGTAGAGGGCCCAAGATTGATGAAGACACTCATCATGTATAGAGTGAGAGACGGATTTTTAAATACTTCTGGGTAATCTGTGTCTTCCTCAATCTTGGGTCCTCTACCAGAAGCCTGGGAGTTTGAGGGTTCTACACAGGATCTTAGCTCTTCTTAGCACTGCACTCACCACATTTATATATTCATCTGTTATACTGTTGCTGTTTGTTGTTTTACATTGTATGTTTTTAATAGACATATATATTGCCCAGGGAAATTGTGGTTGCTGGGTGGTTTAGAAATGTAATTAATGCATTAATAAACACCTCTCCCTGTTATTTGTTCACAGAAGCTGGTCTTCAGAGGTAGATTGCCTATGAATATGGAGCAACCACACCACCATCTGACTAACAGCCAATCATAGATCTCCCTTCCTCCATCACACTACTCTCTTTTTGAAGCTAAGTCAACTGCTATCATTAGCCACTGCCGTAATCACTTCTATAAATTAATTCTACATTTTGCAAAAAAAAAAACAACACCCAACCATTTTTCTCCTTGCCTTGAATTTCCTGCTCATCTATTTCATTTGGCAATATTCCCTCCGTCCTTCTCCATTTTCTCCATATCCTGTACAGCATTGTATTCATGCAACTTCCTCCTTTCCTCGCTCTCATTCTCCAGCCCAGGACTGAGAAATTGCATTTCATTTAATCTTTTCTTCCCCTCCCCCCAAATTTGACAAATTATCTGTAATCCCAGACAAGAAATGGCCGATTTCTTGGGATGGGGGTATCAATTCCTCCCAAACGATGTGGGTTTTGAAATTCATATTCCTTGCTTACTTCTTTGTATTTGCTTCCCTGCTCACAATTCCAATCGGCAGAATCTTTATTCTCGCCACAAAATGTGACAGAAGAGCCTTATTATTCTTTCTTTACTTCTTTCACACTTGAGCTGAAGCATCCAGACCCTGTCACCTGCTCACAAATTGCATTTGAAGATGCTTGCAACAATGAGCATCAAAAAAACACCCTTTGAATATCTCAGATTACATTCTGGGCTCTCAGCTGATGCAGAGAGTGATGTCATAGGTTTGTGTGAGCAAAGATGCAAAAAAGATGTCTCTATTTAGAAAAAGAACTACCTGTAGAAGGTCTGAGCCCCAAAACACATTGGGGTTTAAGCCTAAGGACATAGTGAGTGCAATCAGATGCAGAGTCAACACAACCTTTTCCCATACTTGCATTTGTCACATGTTAGGACAACAATGTTACGTGGTTGAAAATTCAGGCTTTGTAACTCCACATATCCAGAGGAAATCAGATTACAAAGTTCTAGAGGTTGTATAGGATAGCTGCTATAATCAGAATTCTTCAAAATACTGTTTTCTCAAAACATGATTTGGGTAGAAAGGACACTAAACTTTTCTTTGTTCCTTTTAAAGATACGCTCAGGGCATTGCTTCTTAATACGACACTCTGCAAGGGCTGGCTTCTGGCTATGAAAAAAATATTGTGTTCCTGTTCAGACGTGGTGTGTTATTTACAGGTTTGTGTTTTTTTAGTGGCAAGTTGATCATCCGGATCCTCAAAGGTTTTTCATAACAGCAAACAAGTCACATTAACTTTAATTAGCTTATTTGTTCCCTATGACTATCATTAAGTGTTGTACCTTATGATTCCTGACGAATGTATCTTTTCTTTTATGTACACCGAGAGCGTATGCACCAAGACAAATTCCTTGTGTGTCCAATCACACTTGGCCAGCAAAGAATTCTATTCTATTCTATTAACATTAACAGCAGATAAATTCTTTGGCTTGGAAAGCTAAAGAAGTGTGAGCCCAGATCAGATACCCTGATGGATGGGTGGCTAGATAGAACTAACAAGAAGCCATCTCTAAAATAGCAGCAAACATACTGTACCCTGTATTTATCATTGACGTGGGTTTTTCAGTGCATGTGTTATTGTTAATTTAAGGAAGGCTGGAAATCATGCCGAAGATTGGCAGCCAAGAGCAGGAATTATGCCCATAGCAAGACAGATGTTAGCTGTGCCCTTGAATTAGTGTATTGGAAACTGCTATTTTGACCTTTCCAACCAGACACTCTTCTTATCCTAACCCTGCATCCTAGAAAATCTGCTGTCTCAGCAAGACTATCTTTTCCCCTCTTCAGAAGAGTCTGGCTTCAGACTCTCCAATCTAGCACCTTTGAAGAGGGGCTCCCTGGAAATATCTGCACTGCTCTTCAGCTTCTAAAAAAAGAGGCTCCAGGACAAACCTCCGTCACGAGAGGACACCCCCATACCTCCCTTGAATTCTCTCTCACACACCCTTGTTAATGTTGTAGCCCCGAGATTCCCATACCTTGGAATTTCCAGGTCACAAACTGACCTTTAGACAGTTGGGGTGCACTCTACTCCTAGGGACAAGGTTTTCTTTCAGGCCAAACCTCAACCTCCAGGTAGCCTATTCGGTTTCAAAAGGCTTCCCGCTCCAGGTTGACGGCGCCTTTTCACCACAAATCCGCTGAGCTTCGGAGTGCACGGAGCTCCCTGAAGTAGGGACTCCAGCCCCTCCTGCACCCTCAGCTCCAAATCAAGGAACCTCCCTGAAAGAAGCAGCTGCCTTTTCCCCCTTCAACCCCACCCGTCTCGGGACAGCCAGTTCTCTTCCACCCCGAGGGCGCATCGTTGCCTTCCCTTCCCTTCCCTTCCCTTCCCTTCCCTTCCCTTCCCTTCCCTTCCCCTCCGGTTGCTCTCACCGGCGGTACAGCGAGGAGGGCCAGGACATCCTGGGGTTCCGGAGGGCCGGCCGGAGCGAGGCATCGCAGGTTCCCGAGCGCAGGTACTTCTCGGTGTCGGAGTGGAAACGCTGCTTGATGCGGATGTGGGTGCGAGGCTGGCGCCAGAGGTGCTTGGGCGGCTTGGCCAGGCCGGCTCCTTCGCGGCTCAGCTCCAAGGGGCGGCGGGCGGCGCTGTCCTCCATCGCGTGGTGCTGAAACGGCCACGTGGAGCGAAGCCCGGCGAAGCGAGAGAGGCAAGGAGGACCGGCGGGGAAGGCAGAGCCGGGCAAAGTTTGGCTGGTGCCGCTCAGCCTTGGCTCCTACCGAAGTGGCCCCTCTGCCTTTCTCCGCGCTCCTCGGCCGGTGGCAGCTCTAACCGTTATATAGCGCCGGCGATGAGAAGGCGCTCCGGCCAAGATTTATTTACAGCTCTCCGCCGGCTCATTTAGTGAGGCGGGGCGGGGCGAGGCGAAGGCTCTGGCTGGCCGCTCTCCACTCCCAACACAGTTGCTGCGCTCAGGCTGGCCAGCCTCGAAACGACGAGGTGGGGCGCATTTCCCTTCTGTGCGCGCCTGGATCTCGGAGCAGAGAGCTGCGCTCTTCGCTCTCCGGCGGGAGAAGGCGCCGCAGCAGAGCGACACAACAGGTCCCACAGCTGCCTGGATAACAGCCGCCAGCCCTGCCTCCCAGCACCGCCCCAAAAGTCTCTCTCCAAGCACTCTTGCCCTTTTTATATCCCAACGGGGTGGGGAGGTGGATTCCCTGAAACCACGCAAAAGGCTGGGAACCAGCCTCCATAATCCTACTCAATTTCAACCACAGACTCGAGCGAAAGGTCCTTCCATTCATAGATTTCAGAGGGGAGGAATCTCTTCGGTCATTAAAAAGGAAGAGTGGCTTCCTAAGGCATCTGAAAAGTAAACAGTGGCAAAAGGTTTCCTGGACTTGAGCCAGCTTCATTCAGTGCGTGGAGGGTTGCCAAAGTGGCAAATAACCTAAAGGAAAAACCCCACTTCTTAGGAAAAGTAACTGAAAACAGTGGGGCTAAAGGAACAGCCAAGACATTTTGTTACTGGAAGGAAAAGATGGAATCGAGTGGACTTTTTAAAATTGTACCCAATTAGATTCACCCACTCAAAAGAGCCCCATAAACACGGGAACCTGGACGGGTAGGTTTTTTTTTTTTTAATATCTCCCTTAGGGGGGAGGTTTAGGGAGATGCTTGGGGGAAAAAAAGATATAAAAATGAAATGTGAAACTTACAAATCTGTATGTGAATATTTTCTGTTGGCTCTATCCTATATTCCATTATATTGCTATTACTTCCATAATTATATTATTCTACTAGTCAATTACTATTACAATATTTCCTCCATATTACATCATTCTATTTATAGAATAATGTATAATTATTCTATTATAACATTTCCTCTTTACTGTACCACTCTCTACAGTATTACTAGCAATGTCCTCTTCTTACAAATCCTGTTCTGCTTTCTGCTTTAATTCCTCACTCTCTGGAAGTTCTTTTTTCTTCTCTATTAATGGTACTTTGCTCTGAAGAGCCTCTGTCAGAGCCTTCATTTTCCTCTGGAGTCTGGACCATTTGCTCCCTTTGAAGGAAAAAAAACCACTTCTTTTATTTGGCTGCTTTTCTCTGTTTGCTGGTGGATGCAGAACTTCCAAAATGTGCTTCTCCTCCCACACTTGTCTCAAGGTTGCAGCTTTATTGGCAACTCTGCCAGGCTGACGCTGGGAGAAAAGGCTCAGACGGGAGGGGAGGAAGGCAGCACAGGTGCCTGCAATTTTCTAAGCAGCCATCTCGTTCACAAGCTGCCACCGCTGAATTTTTCTCCAGTTAATGGGGTTAAACTGATCCATTTAAGAGGCCCAGGGGAGACTGCATAAGGCAAGTTCTGTCTCTTGATCCAAGGAATTCAGAAGGAAGAGCTATGGGGCTGCCACTACCAACTTTTTTAGACCCTTGAGGCTGGTTTCTCTCTCTCTCTCTCTCTCTCTCCCTCCCTCCCTCCCTCCCTAATGATTGGAGCAGATCTAAACAGGATTTCCAAATTAGCAGCCTAGTCATAGAGATTGGAGAGCCAGTTTGGTGTACAGATAGTCCTTAACTTACAGCCTTTTGTTTAGTGACCGTTTTGAAGTTATAAAGTTGAAAAAAAAATAATTTGCTACCAGTCCTCACACTTATAACCAGTGTAGCTTCCCTGAAGTCACACGCTCACAATTTGGATGCTTGGCAACCTTTGTGTATTTACAAGGGTTGCAGTGTAACAATGTTATTGTCATCTACTTTTCCAGCTGATTTTCAAAGTCAATGGGGGGGGGAAAACCTGATTTACTTAATGACCACAGCAGTAAAAAGGTCGTAAATCAGGTGCAGTCATGTGATGACTCACTTAGGAATGAAAATTCTTGTCCCGATTGTGGTTGTAAGTTATGGGACACGTTAAAGCATCAGACTAGAAATCTGGAAGCTCTGAGCTCTAGCCCTGCCAAAGCCAGCTGGGTGACTTTGGGCCAGTCACTCTTTCTCAGCCCTTGGAAGGAGGCAAGGGCAAACAACCTCCATAATCTTGTTTTTTTTTTTTTATTTAATTTGATTTATATGCCGCCCTTCTCCGGAGACTCAGGGCGGCTTACAGTGCGTTAAGCAATAGCCTTCATACTTTTGTATATTTATACAAAGTCAGCTTATTTCCCCCACAAACTGGGTCCTCATTTAACCTACCTTAGAAAGGATGGAAGGCTGAGTCAACCTTGAGTCTGGTAAGATTCGAACCTGCAGTAATTGCAGGCAGCTGTGTTAATAATTAATCTTGCCATGATATCTGCAATGACTTATCGAGGCAGTTGCCAGAAATCGAGATTGACTCAGAGGCACACACACACTCACGCACACACCTCAGATTCATGGGAAAGTCTATAGAAGAGAATGTTTGTAGCTCAGGGCTGAAGTGCAAGGTCCTTGGTGCTCTCTGAGCTTGGTTGTTTTCTTGCAGACATTTCATTACCAAACTAGGTAACAACATCAGGGCTAGTAGGAAACGGGGTTTGCTCTCATTTTATATACTAGTGGCTTGCCTGTCAGTGTTGATGGGAGTGGTCTTGGTGGTTCATTGATTGGGTTGCTCACTGTTGTTTATTGTTATACCCCCCACTCCCAAATGTTAGAGTGTTAAAGCAGTGGCCCCCAACCAGTGGTGAAATGTCAAATTTGTTACTACCGGTTCTGTGGGCGTGGCTTAGTGGTGGTGGGGTAATATGACTGAGTGGGCGTGGCCAACTTTTTTTTTTTTTAACTTTTAAAACCATTTTTTCTACAACCTCTTAGCCTGAAGAGGTTGTAAAAGAATGCTTTTAAAGCCTCTGACGATCCCAGCTGACTTGCCTGATCGGCAGAAGCTTTTCTTTTTTTTTTTAAAGCCTCTGATGATCCCAGCTGAGCTCCGCGATCATCAGAGGCTTTTTTTTTTTTACTTTTAAAAGCATTTTTTCTGCCAAAGAGGTTGTAGAAAAAATGCTTTTAAAAATAAAAAAAAGCCTCTGATGATTGCGCAGCTCAGCTGGGCAATGGGGGGGCAGGGATTTTTGCTACTGGTTCTCCGAACCACCCGCCTCCATCGCTACCAGATCGGGTGATCCGGTCCAGACCGGGAGCATTTCACCCCTCCCCCCAACCTTTTGGACACCAGGGACCGGTTCTATGGAGAGAGGTTTTTCCGTGGCATCATGTGTTGCCTGCATCACACGGATGGGACTTTACTTGTTTGTGCAGCCCAGTTGCTGACATGCCCATGTGCTGGTCCACGGACCAGGGGTTGGGGACCCCTGTGTTAAAGGACTATATGCATGCCTTAAGCTTTTGCAAGGGTGCATTTACCTATTTTGCCTCTTAAAATTGCTTCAAAACTTTCAAAAGCCCAAAAGGGAGATCTTAGTTGGATTTTAGGGGCCCTGCCCCCTTGCAGGAGGCTCAGGGGATTGCAAAATATGCCTCTGGCCCACACTTTTTTTTAGCTCAGGGGTGTCAAAGTCACAGCGTCATGTTGTCACATGACATATCATGACTTTTTTCCCTCTTTGCTAAAGTGGGGGTGGGCGTGGCCAGCATGTGAGGCATCTGGCTCGCGGGACAGGAGTTTGACAGCCCTGCCTTACCCTGTGGACATTATACTTCCTGTGAGGCTACAGATTCCAGTTTGCCTTTCACCCACTAGCGTACATTGCAAAACAAAGAAAACATGTACAACTTTGAAACGGGTATCGGTTCAGGCTTCTAACTGAAGCATGCAACAGAAAGCACTGAAGAGCCTTATTGGCAACAATTACATGCAATTTTATCTCTTAGGAAACTGACCCATAAACTCAAGGAATCACCTCCAAATTTTGTACACATGTCACAACAGTCCTTTCATCTTTCACGTAGCTCTTAAATGAGCCTGCATTGAGCTGAAGACATAGGAAAACTGCCCACTTTCACTAAGAAGGATGAGAAGCAAGAGAAATTTGCTTCAGCTCCTCTGAAAGGCAAGAGTTTCTGTCACCATGTGCAGCTGGGTGCAAAATACAGGCAAATTAATCAAAAGCTTGTTATGAAATCGTAAGAACAGCAAAGATATGCCAGCAGCCAGCATGGAAGCAACTAAACAAATTGTTGTGTATGCGTGTCCATGCATCTCTGCCCTTCCAGCTGAAACCCATCCATCTGATCTGTCATTTTAAAGCTGTTCATAATTTATGTTCCGAATCTATAAAGCTGAGGAATCTAAAGCAAAATCTTTCCGTTTGGAACGCTTGCAAATTACAATTTACTGATCACGGGGCACTGCTTTGCATCTCCGTGTTTGTAGAGGTTTAGGATATTCTCTTCTGCACACAGCATTGTGATACATTTTTATGCATGCATAAACAGCCTTCAAATTTCATCTTGGGGTAGAAGATCCTCAGCTTTCCACCAATGCAAATCCTAGAAGAAGGGAACTTTTAGAAATCTTTTAAAATTAGAAGCCCACTTTGGGATGCGGGCAATAGTAGGTTGATT